CGCACAATAGCTCGCCGGCTCCTCTATCTATTTTGTGTCCAGCCGGGAGCCGCGCTCGATGATTCATTGCCCCAATTAGGGGCTCTCTCCTGCGCGCCAGGCTCGAGCCGTCTGAAGGGTCTCCTCAGGGACCCGCGGAAACCCATCAGCCGCTGGAGCTGGTCTTTAAGTAAAGGTCAAGCAGGACGCGGGAGGAGCCAGGTAAGGACGCAGCCCGCATCCCCAGAGACCCAGGAGCCCGACCAGGAAGGGCAGCTCTCCAGAGGGGCAGCCTCAGCCCAGAAGTAGGGAGGCTGCAGAGTGAGCTGGGATGCTCTGACCCCCTCCCCATTCTAAAGGGCCTTTACAGCCCTGAGGAGCCGCGGGTTGGGGGCACGTTTCAGGGCCCAGGGTTCTAATTTTGGTGAGAGGGAAGAGAAGCTGTCTCCAGTCTCCCAGAGCACATTAGTGAATGCACCATCCAGGGGACAGACTCCTCAGCCTGCCACACCCCTACCCAACACTGGCCAAGGGCAGAAAGGGTCCTGTGTCTGGGCTGTGTGTTCCAGGGCAAAGACTCAGCAACTCTGGGCCCTTTCTTCCTCTTGTTAAACAGAAGCTCTGGCAGGGGATTAACTGTTTCCATGTATTTACTGCACATGTGTATAGATACATGCATTTATTAAACAAAGAGGAGAGAGAACTCAGCATGTGCCAGGTGCAGAATCTAAGCACTTTATACATATCCACTCAGTTACTCCTCCCAGTAACTCTGGGTTAAGTGCCATGGTCAGCCCACTTTACAGTCGAGATAGAGGAGGCACTGAGTATTAAGGTACTCTTCAGGAGTGGTGGAGCTGAGATTCAGACCCCGGCAGCCAGTTGCAGGCCCCTGTTCACAACTGCCTGCCTGTGTAGCCGCACTAGGCGAACATCTGGTCTCCGTCATCCATCTGCTGATGGAGACTGTCCACGGCAGGGGACACAGGCAGGACCTCTCCATCCTCTCTGCTGCTCTGGCTGAGACTGGGAGGCCTTGTGAAAATCCAGGCCTTTCTGGGCCTTACATTTTCCATCTGCAAAATGCCACCCCTTCCAGCTTGAAAATTCTATGTCTCTGATTTCTGAGTAGTTGACAGCTGTCCTAACCTGCCAGCTGGAGCCCAGAGTCATGAGGACAAAGGTGCCAAGTTGCCCCCTGCCCTCTGGGGCACTGACATGTAAGTAAAACTAGGCCTCCTCTTGGCGTGGAGGAGGGCCATGCATTATAAATAAATGGAATAAGAGAAAAGGGCCGCCTCTTTGGAATCCCTGGTGGCTGTTGCAGGGATCACAGTCCAGGGGTTAACAGGAAAGTCATCATCATCATCATGGCGAGAAATGCAGAACTGCCGGTTCTCACCCAGGCCAGAGAAAAGCTGTGTCAGCAAAACTGTCCCAAAGGAATGTTGGGGGCTGGGCGGGGCTTTCCCTGCTTCTGGCATTTTTCATATCTGCTGAGAGGAGGGGGCCTGATTAGGAAAACTGTAAAGTGATGTCTGTGTCCTAGCACACCTCTCAAGCCCCACACAGTGCAAGAGGCTGCTGCTGGTAAAACAACCCCTGGCTTAGGAAAGGCAGGTCTGCTGCGGGACTACACATGGGTCCCTTAAGGCTTGGCACATGCTGTTCCTTCTGTTTCAAATGCCTTTCCAGTCTGTCTTTGTGAAGCCAACTCCTCTCATCTTTATGGTCTTGGCTGCAGTGTCTTCCCCCAGAGGATTTCCTGCCTTCTCCATCTAAAGTAGTTTCCCCTGTTATTCTCAGTCTCAGCTCATTGGCATAGGAATTTACCAATGATTTTATTTCTTTTCCTGTTGACTCTTTCCCCGTCCAGTTCCCCTAGGAGCCCGGGTGCTCCCTTCTGTAGGAACCAGGTCTGTCTTACCATGTACATCCAGGCCTCACTGCTTGGGCCCCACACACCTAGGGCTCCATCCTGTCCCATCCCTCTCTAGCTATGTGAGCCTTGGGCAAACCTCTTAGCTCCCTAAGCCTCAGTTTTCTGCTCTGTACAATGGAGCTGTGATCCTCACCGGGCTTTTTTGCATGGATCACAGGGGCCTGGCACGTTGTAGGTAACTCTGTGTGCGTGTGTGTGTGTTGATCCTTCCTAGCTCTGTCCAGCGGTTAACAAGGTCCTGCTCCTGCCTGTCTGCACTCCGAGGTGAGGGGAGCACTGTGATGAGATCACACACGGTATGAAGGAGGAGGGCTACAGGGGTCAACAATTCAAGAGGGAGATGGAGTTTTCTTGGCCAAGCTAGAATCATCCAGGGAATATCCTGAGTATGTGCCACATGTGTGAAAGTGTGTGTATTCATGTGTGGTGTGTGCATATACTTATGTGTGTGCATGTGAGTATGCATCTTAGTGGGCACATGAGTGCCTGCATTCACGTGAGTGTGCCTTTGTGTATGCACGTGTTAGTGTGCACACATGTGCATGCATCCCTGTGCTTGTGTATGCATGTGTTCACGTGTGTGCCTGTGTATAAAGTGGGCCGGAGTGGGAGTAGAGAGGCACTGCGCTGGATGTTTTGGTTTCCTTCATTGACCTGGTGACTCAGGAGAGCCCCCTGGCACACATCCGGGGAGCCAGGGAGCAGGAGAGCAAAGAGCAGAGGAGGAAGGAGGCATGTGACGATGGACGGTCATCTGTAGGAGGATGACACAGGGCTGGGGCTACTTGTGCAGCTTGACACACCAGACTGACATCACAGCCCTGTCGTTTCTTAGCTGCGCAGCCTTGGCCTGCTGCTTAACCTCTCTGAGCCTCAGCTTCCCTGTCTGGAAAACAATGATAAGGAAAGGATGCACCCCACAGGGCTGGGAGGAAGGTGCATGGAGACAATCCGGGCGAAGCACACCCTCTAGACACAGAAATAACGGTAGTGCTTGTGCACAGCGACTCAATATTAATCACACAGGGGTCCCTGTCCCGCACAGAGGCAAAATGGCCAAATTTTTGCAACAAGCCAGGGAGATAGGTACTGCTATTGTCCTCAATTTCCAGAGGAGGAGACAGAGAGGGAGGTAAAGGCTCAAGGCCCCGCCGCTGGGGGAGCTGGGGCCAGAGCCCAGGCATCATGTCTCTGTCACTCCCTGGCTTTATCAGCCATTAACTTTGCCCGGGGTCCTGTGATGCCAGCTCATCCTCACCTGTGTCCCCAGTTTCACACCTAAGGAGACTGAGACCCAAAAGAGGCTGAGCGTAGGCCAGAGATGAGGTGAAATCTCAAGGTTCATTCGTTTTAACTTCATGTCGGAGCCACAGCCTCCCGACCCCAGCAGAGCCAGCCCCGTGGTCCTCCTTGCAGCTCGGGAGAGGGTGCCAGGCCCCCCTGAGGCCACATGAATCACCATCTGGCTCTCTCCACCTTCATTCCTCGGACTCAAGTGTAGTGGGCTTGAAAAGCACTGACCAATGCTCACAGGCAGCCCTGGCCTTGGGAAGGGGGAGAGACACCCACCCCGGGTCATGTGGAGACCAGAAGGCCGTCAGCGTGGAACATCTGGGCACATCTCAAATTTGCGGCTTCCTGTAGGGTCGTCTTGGCCCACAAACCGCAGGAATCTGCCCTCACACTGCGGGGGAGAGCAAGCTTCCAGGCTCTGAGCACTTATCACGCGTTGTTCTGTGTGTCTGTCTCTGGGTGGCTCCCTTTGTGCCGCCCCACAGCACCACAAGGCTGGGATATGTTAGGGGCCCAGTCTGTGCCTGGACATGGGATGCCAGGCTCGATCCAAAACCTCACTGCAGCTTCCAAGTTCCAGAATCGCCCGGCTGCTCCTGCCGGCTTCCAATCTTTCATTCTTCCAAGTGCCAGCAATCCAGACCAGACCCTCCCACGTGCCCCCAGCTTCTCCCGACCCTGAAACCCAACTTCCCTCCTCACTGGTACCCTTGCCTGTTTCCTCCTCCCTCTAGGCTGTGCGTGCACCTCTGGCACCCCTCCCAGGACCCATTTACCTTCATAGGCTGGTCCATCGTTCCTCTTTTAGAGGCTACGTGTGCTGTGTGTTTGGCCTCTGGCTCACTGGGGACCAGAAAAACAAAATTTATCATCTGACTGTCCTATTTTTTTCTTTCTTTCCATTTTTTTCCCCCTAAGAATGAAGCAAGCATTTCTCTGCTGTCCTCAGAAAAAGCCTGAAACATGGCAGGCCACAGGCAAAAGCATATCCTCCTTCTCAGAGGGAAGGAATGTAACCGTTAACAATAATAAAAAAAAAATCCCTAGGATTTATGGAAGCCTTGGGTTTATGAGCCGTCTCACATCCGTTAGCTCGAATGACACAGCGATCTAGGGGGGCAAAGCAGGATTCACCAGCTCCATCTCAGAGATGAAGAAACTGAGGCTCGAAGGCACAGATCCTAAGACCGGGATAAGCTCCCAGCTGCCAGGGCTGATGAAATTTCCTTACATTTGTATGTTTACACATTGGGCAGATTTGTTCCATGTAAATATTAAAAATATATGGTGTGTCTGATGACCCTGGCTTCGCATCCCCCCCTCCTTTTTAAAATACAGGAGCATCAGAGGGTAGAAGTGAGAGGACCACCTTCCATCTCCGGGGCTTGACGCAGCCTACGCAGAAGCATTTTGTAAGGCACAAAGTGTTTTGTTAAAAAAAAAAAATCACCGCTTGTGTTATACAATTAAGGATCAGGGCATGGGGTATATAGTCTAAGAGCAGAATTAGGTGCTCCTGAAATCTTGCCTGGTTCCTGTGAACCTGAGAAACATTCCAGAAGCAAATAGCCCAGTCTCTCCCTCCTGTGACACCATTCCCCAGAACTCTTCCATCTCGAGACCCCAACTGCCGTGAACTTCAAGGCCTCGCAGAATTCCTTTGATAAATGATCACTAGGGTGGACCTGCCTCTGGGAATGACAAGACAAACACTCCACATAAATCTTGAGGGGACTCAAAGTCTCCCTTGCTGCTGGCTTCTCAATAGACCCCTGATTTGCAGCACAAAATCCATAGTAATCATTCATGTGGTTAGTTCCCAGGCTTCCAAGCCCAGGGAGGTTTTGGAGAATGTAGGGAAGGGGAGGTGGTAGAAACAAAAGTGGACCGTAGTGACTTCCAACTGCCTTGCCAGTACGCAAGTACACAGTAGGCGCTCAAGACAAACCAGTTCGCGTCCACCAGTGTGTATGGTAGCTAAGGTTTA